AGAGAGAGAGAGAGAGAGGGAGGTGGGCTTGATGAGTTGGAGCCAATACTAGTAGATTGTGGCCTTGCCGGAGTTGCCTCGGGCACCTAGACCTGACCACAATCTGCAACAGTGGGCAAAGTCTCTCATGTATCATGGCTCTCTGAATTAAAATTGTGGTCTTCGGTCCTACTGTCGGCCCTGAATCACGGACCCTCCTCGCATCATCAGAGTTCTAGTGCTCACCTTTAGCGTCTGCCCCTTGCAGAAAGAGGGCGTACAAGTGCTGGCTTTGGCGGGTCCTTGCGTTGGATCCTGTCCTGCTTCCGCCTCTTTTCAGTCCCAGGCCCGCCTCACACGATGTAAAAAGGAGTGCTGGGATGCAAAAATCTTATCTACCACCCTGACTCAAGATGGCAGACGGTCGTGCAGAACCGGCAGGGTTTGCCCGGCTGGCCTTTGCCAAGCGCCGAAGACCTCTTCTGGCCCTCTTCCTGCGCCTTGATGATGTCCTGCAGAACTTCGTTCCAAGAGCTTGGGGGCTTCAAGCCCTTATATTAGTAGCCCTTTATAATATCCTCTGTCGGAGCCCCATATAGTATCCCTTAATGAGAACCCAAAGCATGGCCTAGTGTCCTCCAGAGGTCCCAGCAGCAAATTGAAGGCAACGCGGTCCAGAACCTTAGAGAAGCGACAAGACCTCCACGCCTGGCACAAGCAAACCCTTCGCGCTCGACGCCGGTCTCCACCAATCACAGTAATATTTCCCTACTTTTGCAGATCAGCCCTGCTCGACTGTCTATCTGCAGCATCTGAAAAAAAACGAACCCCAAACATTGAGGCCCTCAGCAAAGCACTTGTCTTCTGTTGCCGAGGGACCAAGACCTTCGCCTCATTCGACACCACCGTGATGGTGGCTGCACGCGGCCTGACAGGCCGGCTGGGGCTAGATGTCCATCATTTAGGTTTTTTTATGGTGATGGATCAATATATTATATAGGCTCCCGGTTTACTCTTGGTGAGCAGTCTGCATCTGCGGCAAACAAAACAGAAGAGCTCAAAACCCTCGGTGCTTAGGTGCTTCTCTCCTACAGCCCCGAGACGCGGGTAGAGGTTCTGAGAAGGCGCACAGATCTGACTCTGACCCCCATACCCCGGGGACGTGTGCATAAATCAGGTTCCATAAAAACCCTGACCTCGTGCTTGCACCACTTACGAACCCACAACCTTACTCGCGCGGCCCCCTTACCCAAACCAAAATGCCCGGGCGGGGCGCACAATATTCTTCAAGGCTCAACCGGCTCAACCGGCTCATGGGTTTATAGACACGACACGGGGTTGGAGAGAACGAGCTGCACTCTCTGGTCCACAGCCATCCAGAAAAAGGCAGGACCAAATCTGCAGCTAATCCTGTTACAGCGGACGAGGATTTTGCCCACAGGTTGGAGAATCCTCTGAGCCTTCCAGTCGTCATCTCTCGAGGGCTTCTCTGCAATGCACAGATTCAGATAACGCCCGAAACACTAAACTCTAAGAGCCTCCGACATTCGCGATTGTACACTTTGAGACAAGGGGAAACAAAAGAGAAGGAGAGGGGGAGAGGCAAAGGGAGAGGGAGAGAGAAAGAGAGAGAGAGAGAGAGAGAGAGCGGGAACTTAAAGTGTGAGCGCAGTATGTATTTCTTTTCCAACTCCTCAACATATATGGCCCTTATAATAGTTAAAATATATAATGTTTTGGGGTATACTATGCTACATGTATGACAAAAGGCCCCCAAAACAGAATTCCTCAACTCAACAAGCTACAGTATGGTCATGTCCTCTAGCAAGCAGGCCGGCCACGCTCGTTGCTCATCAAAGCCCTCTCGCCAAAGAAATGGGCTGCTTTCGTCGTCCTGAAGAGTTCTGGTCAACAGTCTGCAAATAAATGATGATGGCTGTGGCTGCCTTCTCGCTGTTTTCCCATGATCCAGAAGGCAGCTAGTGAATCGAAAGCGTCAGTCAAACCCGCGCCGAGTTGTCGGCTGTTGGCACAAGTCAAGAGTCAAGAAGCCACCGGCCGATTTCTGGGATGGAAAAGCTTCCGCAACCACGGAACAACTCCGCAGCATTTCGACACGGAGATGCCGTGATGTCGCTTCGATCTCGAATGTCCCTGACAACCCTCAAGTTTTGAAGAACCAACGCAGCATCAAGCCCAATCAATCCAAGCTGCGCGGAAGCCTTCAGCTTGTTCTGCTTTTGTGAATCTTTCGTCACCTGGACCTGAGGCGCGCCCAGCTCTACCGGCTCAGTGTTCGTCAAGCTTGAGACTGAAGCCTTCAGAGCAGAGAATATTTCAGCGTAGCAGAATAGAATGCAATATGGTAATATGATATTTGTTAATACTATAAAATACACCAGCATGGAATAGACTAGAGCATAATAGAATAGACTTATAATGCAATATGATAGAACATACTATAACATAGTCGAGTAGAACAGAATAGAATGGAACAGCATATAATAGAATAGAGTATGCTATAACACATTATACGATAACATAATATACTAAAATATATTCCAGTACAATATAATAATATAATACAGCAATATTATTATAGTATAGCGTGTGAAATCATGCTCTGTTGTGCTATATTACTTTGATGTTCTATTATAGTTATGTTGAGAATAGTGTAGGTCCCCTGCCGTGAACTACGGAGTCCCGGAGCTCGTGGGATGTCTGTTACAAGGGCTGGCGGGTGCGACGTTCTGGGACACACGGCTATGGCACAAGTATGGGTCTGAGAAGCAGAATCCATAGGATCCATCATAGTTAGACCATATTGGAACTACTATTTGCTGGGGTTGGGTCAAGACACATCCCGTACCGCTGTTTTGAGTTGAAGGAACGATGACGAAAGCATGCTGCTTTTGCGTGCTTTGGTATCCGGCTTGGTCGATTCGACACAGGCGTTTGCCGCCTGACGGGACACGCCTGTTGACTCTAGCAGAAGTCCTGCGCCCAGTCTCTTCGCTTTAGCTGGTCATATACGGAAACGGGACGAGAAAGCGGTGCCTCCTGTGCCGCCGTGTCCGGATCAGGCTCGAAGACTCGCGCAGAAGAGGGGTACGGCTTTGCCCTTTCTACTTGTGGAGCCGACAGCTCCTTGGCAGCTGGAATTCCCAACGGCCGCCGCAGGTGCCGGCGCTGCAGGGTATTTGGGGCCTGCGGTGTGGCCACGGCAGGCCGACCACGGCCACGATTTTCCAGCACTTCCTCCGTGGTGGGCTTTGGCAGGTCCGTCGGCTGTCGCGGTGGTATCACCAATTGCCGATCGATGTCGTGCGAACAATCCTCGCAGACTTCCATGACCTTGCGTATGCTGAAAGAAGCTCTCATGCGAACGCGAGGAAAGGACTTCTGAAATTGTCGAAGAGCTCCCATGCACGAAAGACATGGAATCTCACTGACGTCGAAGCGCAATGTAGCCTCACTGGCAGCACCAGCAGGGCTCCTCAAGAGCTGGTCTGCGGCTTTGTTCAACACTTGAAACTCTGCGTCGTTGGAACGTGGATGCTCGACGACACACGCCACAAACCTGATAGGCTCGTCCATAGATGTTCCGCTTGCCACCACCCGGGCGTCTGTTTGCTCACCAGGAGCCCTGGCAAGTGTCCACGCACAGGTGGTTTTGTGCTTCATGGTCGCATCCGTCGGATCCGCTTCGTGCGCCGCCTGGATACCTTTCAGCAACCAGTCTTCGCGCAACCGTCGCAGCGGCAGGCACATCTCCACATCCTCCTCCAGCATGTCGAACTTTCGCAACATCTCGCAAGTTAGCCTCCGACCAAGCTGAATGGTCTTGAAGGCCGTAACTTTCTCCTGATATCGCTCGGATTCCGCTGGGCTGCAGTTGATCGACGGGATGTTGTCGAAATCCTGAAAGAATTCCAAAACCTCGTTATATGGCTGACGCCCGATTGCATCGCATTGGTCGAAGATCTCGCGCGGAACGTGGCAGCCCCACTCGCTGCAAACGGCATCCGAGAGAAGAACAGCATCGCCAGGCTCTTCAAAGACCTCGTCTCCTCGTGTGAGGGTCTCGTGCGCGATGCCCCGAGCGACCCCAGGCGGTACATTTAAGCCAAAACGCACGAAAGCCCAGGCAATGTTACACAGACCTGTGATTGTGAACTCTGGAATCATCACCTCTGCTTTCTCCATCAGCATGCGGAATATGTTGTCGTCCCGATGAGATAAGGTGACCATGGCCCAGGAAACATTGGCCACGTCCCGGGAGGCAAACTGGGTAATCTTCAATCGCACGGCTCGTCGCAGCTTCAGCAATGCATCTTCGTGGGACCATGCGAGCACAGCAAAGCTGTACAGCAACGTGGAGATGTCCGGCGGTGTCAGATGGTCCATGGGGCGACGTATGATCTCTTCGCTGATACATGCTAAAGCTTTGATGTCTCGGTACTCGATGGCGGACAGGCCCCATATCACATTGGACAACCCTTGGGGGGAGAACCATTCAATCTGGCGCATCACCTCCCAGTTGATTGCTCGCATGTGCTCGTTCCGCTTGTGCTTCAGCGTGCCGTATGCCCACAAAGTGTTCGAGAGGTCCTGTGGAACGCAATCTCTTGATCGTTTTGTCATTTCTCCACCACTCTCCTCCATCCAATCCTCACATAGAATGGCCAGTGTAGCCAGGCCCCAGGTGAAGTTTGAGAGCTCCTGGGTACCAAACTCAGCTGCCTGAGTCGCTGCGAAGCTGGCAATGGTCCGCATTGCAGCCTCATCCTTGTACAGAACAGTCGCACAGGCCCAGATCAAGTTGGACATGTTCTGTGGCTGGAATCTCCAGAGCTGGACCAACGACTCAGCTAGAATCGCACGAAAAATTGCATCACAGGGCTTCTGCAGGCGCGCAAAGGCCCAGCAGGTGTTAGACAAATCTTGGGGGCTGTAGTCCCGGATGTTTGCTGCTACGTGCTCTGGAACCAGATCCAGCAGCTCGTCGTGCGGATATCCGACAGTGCCTAGTGCCCACACAGAGTTGGAGACGTTCTGCGGCAAGAACATGGCAAGCCTTGCCGCTGCGTACCTGCAGAGTAGGCCAAGGATCCGCTCTTGCCGGAAGAGCAATACAGCGAAGGCCCAAAGTGCATTGGCAATTTGCTGTGGTCGGCATTTTGCGGCGAAGTGCTCTGTGAGATCGAGCAAGCACAAGAAGCCGGCGTGGCGATGAACCATGTCCAACGAGGTTCGGCCAGCATCTTCCTCGCGATAAAGCTTTGCGGCTCGATGCAGGGACGTGACCGCATTGATTTCGTCCATGACCTCGTGGCGCCGAAGTGCGTGCTGCAGCACGGCTTGCCAGGTGGCTTGGCCCATGATCTCCTCGTTGACCGGGACAGTCAGCAGCCCCATGGTGGGAAGGATGGCCCATGGCACGGAGGGTCTGGTCTGATTGGAACAACCCGCAATGCTGACACCACTACCTTCGGATCCTTCCTTCATGCTGTTCAGAGGTGAACATCTACGGCCGCAAGGGGAAAACTCGATTGTGCGCCGGAACCCTTTAACCACTAAGGATCTGCCCAATTGAATCACTATTGACTGTGGTCTAGCTACGTAGCGGCATCTCCGATCGCCTTGCCCCTCCAAGCCGTACTTCAGACTGTCAGGTGGTGTGCAGAATAAATGGCCTTGTATTAGGTCAACCTCAAACAGCAGCCCGCCACATTACGTAAACCAGAACTGCAACCAAAACAACCCTGTCGTCGGAAGGCTATGATGGTGGTGCAGTTGGCTTGTCTTTCGTGCCAATATGCCACCTGATTCCTCGCAACATTGGAAGACGTCGAATACAGAAGAAGGTGGTGCTGGCTGACAATGTGCAGTATCATAATTGGCTATGGCCTTGGCATGCAGGTCGTAGTGAGGGCGTCATGCTTGGACCATCTTGGACCTGTATGATCGAATAAGCTTCGATGACGAAGCCACTCCCGAAGGCGTTTGCATGCCGAGGGACTTCGCCATCATAAAGAATGTAGAATGTGCCTTTGTGGGGTTCAGGGTTCATTCTTGGAGTCGGATTTTTGCAGAACTACGCCCCCTTCTAGACATTGTGTAGCTATAATGAACCCCCCAAAACCGTGTTCTGACTATTCAGGCCCCTATGGCCCCTGGCATTTCGTAGGTTTGTAAGGTCAGGGAAGGACCGCTGAGCTCTCAGGACCCTCCTGCCCGCTTCCCTGAAGCAGTGCCTCGCGTGACTGGTAAACACTGCGACGGCGAATTGATGAGTCATAGAAATGAGGGTAGCGACAATGTGTCATGTTCGTAGAGACACGACCAATGAACATGCATGTCAGCATGTCAGCATGTCAGCACTGTCTCAACCACACGGTGTGCAGACATGTCTGAGTCAATTCGTGAAGCAGCCAAGGGCTTCGTTCGTCAGAGCACCCAGGAACCACAGGAGTCGCTACAGGAGCCTTCGATCCTGGAGTGCCGTGAGTTGAATGCAATGTATCAATGCCTCCACATTGCCCGCCTCATCTTTGCGGAATACGGTTTATACACAATGTGGATGCCTAACTTGTTGGACTGCAAAACGCTCCACAATTTCAAAACATTGAGGCATTTCAATGCTCTCGAGACGTAAAGAAGGCAACCCGTTCCAAGTGACGGCAACTCAACCTGAATACCATGTTGCATAAGCCGCGCAACTCAGATGTCGAACACTTGCCGGCAAAGTTGCTGCCCGGCTCCCCTTGCTGCAAGATAACTTCGCCTGGCTGCAGAACAGAACTAAGCTGGCAGCCAAGTCTGCAGGAGACAGATCTCGCTGAGTCCATACCCAAAGGGCTCAAGGTCCAATGTTTATGACCTCTCAACAAGACACTTGAATACCGATACCGGCGCCGGACACGCCACATGCCTGAACTTCTTTCCACAATTACGACCCTTGCTAAACACATGAACCACTCTTTAAACTTTAGATGCAAAGTCTAGAGTAACCACATACAGAAAAACTAAGAGTGCCCAACAGAGCGAGAGAGGGCTAGATAGATAGGTAGACAGATACGTAGGTAGACCGATAGATAGATAGGTAGATCGATAAGTAGACAGAGAGAGAGAGAGAGAGATATATATATATATATAGAGAGAGAGAGAGATAGAGGCGCACACGGTGCAGGTAAGCAAGCACACACATACATACGACAGGGTAGAACTACCAGCCAAGATGAACGTGGTACCCGAGGCTCCGGTCACCAGAATACTGGGGTACTGGGTTTTTTTATCAGGCAGAAACCCACGACGTAAGAAACTTAACTGGAGTTCTAGGGCATGTACTTGCTCTATCTGGCCCGTGAAAGTGGTCTGCCACATTCTGCAAGCACGATATTGAAACGTATCGAGCCTCCCACAACCCCCAAAATTCCACAGTCTTGAGGAATTCTCTCTCACTCTCTCTGTCTGTCTCTGTCTCTGCCTCTGCCTCTGCCTCTGCCACTGCCTCTGCCTCTGCCTCTGCCTCTGCCTCTGCCTCTGCCTCTGCCTCTGTCTCTGTCTCTCTCTCTCTCTCTCTCTCTCTCTCTCTCTCTCTCTCTCTCTCTCTGTCTCTGTGTCTTTCTTTCTGATACTGCGGCATTTTTTTTCCTTGGCCCAGGCCTTCTCGGTGCTGCAGTTAGGGCCTGCTNNCTCTCTCTCTCTCTCTCTCTTGTTATAGACCGGAGCTGATTGAGCTACGCAGCTTACAGCAGTTTGCTCGGAATGATCCGCCTTTGGCGAAATGCATCTCCACCAATGCTTGGGCGAGCGCTCTCCTCGACTCCGGGTTCGGAACTCGACTTGACATACCCATCTCTAGGCCCTTCCTTACTTACTCTGATAACAAGCGAGCAACGTGTTTAAACCAAAACCGCTCGCATTCCTGGGCATACTTGCCTCGGCCACCCTATGCTCTTTCGGGAGGAGGTGTAATTGCTGCTTGTGAACACAAAAATCTTTTGCCTCTTCCTACAGAAACCTTCGATAGAAAAAACGCGTCTGGAACGATCCCACGTGCAGAAAAGGATCTTCTCTTCTGATAGCAACGCCTCGAGGATACTCACCCGATCGAGATACATCATGTACCTCAGCGTCTTAGAGTTTAGGTTTAGGCTGTAAGACTTCAGGGTGTCATGTACCTCAGCATCTTCACTACACCATCCTCACCCTTTGCAAGGGTACAGGCTCCATGCAGCAGGATGCCTTGCAACAACCTTGCGTGAAATGTTTTCTGGCAACTGAAAAGTGATGGTTTTCATGCTGGTCGGGAAAAGCCTGGCAGTCTCATAGGCAGTCCCACAACGCCACATGCTCTGCGAAAAGACTCGAAACAAAAAACAACTCACATTCCCTGCAAATCCAACCATACCCAGTGGCTCAGAGATCTTGTCGTCAGACACTTTCATCAAGATGGTCTTGAAGCTGATTCCTGAGCAGACTGCACTGCAGGGCTGTGGCAACAGTAAGATCTTCTTCAAGCTTCGTGGAATCCGAATCTTCACTTTCGCATCTGGATCTCCATGTTCTACGGGTTCTCAGCCCGTGGCGGTCGATCACCCACAGAGTACCAGGCGCCTGCGGAATGCATGAGCTCACCGAAAACCGCCACGCGTTCTGAACCCGGGCAGACGCAAGCGACCTGCAGCTAACATCTAGTCGTCAAGCCGGGCCAGGAAGGCTTCAACCTCTCAACACTACTTAATGAAACCTGCAAACCCTCATAAGGGTCCTTTCAAAAACCATTGCAACAAAGCTGTAAGCACACTTTTAAGAACCCTGAAATAGACCTTGTAGTAATCCGACAGTTACCTCGAACGCTCTTCCAAATCGTGCGCTCTCTCTCTCTCTCTCTCTCTCTCTCTCTCTCTGGCTATGTACATGTATGTACGTATACACATGCATGTAAACGGTATATATATATATACAAGTGAGGGAGCGAGGGATATGTGTATATATTCATGTGTATAGTGTATATATATATATATCTCTCTCTCTCTCTCTTGTATGTGCTTTTGTTTCCATATCCTGATATCGGGAGGCTCGCCTTTGCAGTCACGGTTGCCGCCCGGGGAGTCAAGTAGAGCCTCGGAGAAGCCCGTCCAGCATTGGGTTTTCTTACCCCGAAGGGTCCATGTACCTATCCATAGGCTCCTTAGTAGTTCCTTTTTGTGGTTTATATTTAGACTCCTATAAGGTAATCCCAAAAAGGAACTACTTAGGAGCCTATGGGTATGTAGTAGATATACCTTGGCCTTAAAGTAGTGCCTACGTACGCCCTTTACGGCCAAACTTTGGGGTCATGTATCTGCTCTTTTATTACATGGACGCTTACGGAAAGGAGAACAGAAACCCATCACGGGGCCTGAATATTGAGAGTAGGGTTGAAGGGTAGGATATGATACTATAAGCATGATAGGGCTTAGTTTAACTAAAGATCCCTCGACTCCCTCGGGACTAGTATGGAGGTGAGTCCTTCTCCACGGAACTTGACACTCAGCAACTGCATAACACAACAATGATAACAACAACAACAACAACAGCAACAGCAACAGCAACAGCAACAGCAACAGCAACAGCAACAATAATAATAATAGTGGTATCAGTAATAGTCATGGTAAAGGTAATCAGAACAGGAGTAATAGAACTAGTAACCGCTTTAAGAACCATCACAAGAAGAAGAACAACAACCAACACAATAACACCGATACCAGTTATACAAGTATACAGAGCCCAGTGCTGCAGTGGCAGTCTTTGGCTTGAGAGCTGACTTCTGCTTTTCGCCAAGACGACTTAGCCATAGTTAAAGAGCTGCAGCTTGACACCCAGCGGCAGTGCAAGCTCACCGAAGCTTCCGCCCTGGAGTCGCGGCTCGGTTTGGGAAAACTTCTGGGGCTCCAGGCTGGGAAGATCAGTCAGACTGTCAGGCTGCTGTCTGGGGCCTCACAGCTTAGAGTCTTACAGTTTCGACGATTGCTTCTGTTGGGCTTCGCCGCCCCAAGAGGGATCAGCTTCGAAAGTCACTGCGCAAGGCACATCCAAGCAACGAATGCATGTCCAGTCTGGTTACCGAGCACGACGCGGTATGCTGACGATCTCACAGACAGCCCAAGAACAAGCTCAGCCGTCATACTGATGCCTACAGCAAATCAGTGGAAACGTCGACACGCCCGATCAAGTTGACTTCTTGCATGTCCAGTCGACAAGAGCTATCCGTGCTTTTGGACTTGGACCTTTACAGGATTGTCACAAGGGAACCCCAAACCCACACCACAGATCCGACGACGAAATCCGAAAGCCCATGAGACTAAACCCGAAAGCAGACCCTGTTCGGACATGGGGTTCTTGGTATCGTGTTCAACAATCTTATGGTGAGATCATTAGCCCTTTTTGCGGTACTGAGAATATAGTCGCTGATGAGGCGGTGCTGGTGTTGCCGTGACTATCACTATGACCCTGCCCTGCCTTCGAGATGCTGCCAACCTTGCTGCTCAGCTTTCCTTTGGCCTTCGAAGGTGGCCAAGTGATCCATCACAAAACAACAAACCTAAACGACTCATAGAAAAATGCTGCAACTGACAACTCTCACAACCGCAACCACTGCCAACAAGGCAACAACCACGAAGCCAGAGTTGAGAGCTTTGGACTTCAGGTGCAATACTCGGAATATTTCAGGCTTCAGGGATTCGGGTTCTGGGCCATGCAGTGCGGAATTTAACGCGGGACTCTCGGCAAACTGGAGGCTCGAGATGCTTCGAAACACTTCACTGCTGCCAGGCCACTACATTTTGCGAGCAATTTGGGGTTCAGGGGTCGGGTTTGGGCTCTGGTCTACGGTGTTTCTTGCCTTCCCTGCGCTGCTACCATCATCAATACCATTGTTCGCGCCGATGCGAAAGGTTACCACGGTTACAATCTCTCTCCAAGGGTCCTTCGAATGCCTCACAAGATGTCGCTCAACGACCGGAGCCTCGTCTTCGACAGTGACCTCGAAGGTTCCTTCCTGTACCTGGGCGACGAATTACATAGTTGGGGTGTATCTTCTGCCAAATTTACCCGGGGTCGCATACCCCCGGTTTGACCCAAATTCCCCGTGACCTACCCTATCTCCTCAGAAACGAGGGCCCGAAGCTTGCAGATGAGATCTGAGAGTCTGAGCTTTGGGATCTACGCTGCGGACGCCTTGGCCCAGTGCCGAAACTCATCGCAGCTCACCTGAGCTCTGCGCAATGTAGAAGAAATCAGCTTCGAGGTCGCCCTCCTCGGGAGCCAAAGCAAGACTCTTCGGAGCTTGGGGGTCGAGGCTTTCGACTCAAAGTCGTACTGGAAACCCGATGATAGCTCGTTCCATTGCCTTTGTTGCTATGTGCACTACCGCAGACTACAAGATAGCGGCCAAGCCTTGATGACGACCTGATCTTCCTGGACCTCCTCTTTCCACGCCACGTCGACGATATCCTGCATGAACAAAACATATGCCATAGGTTATATGATGTACACGTAGGTAGGTAGGTTAGGTAGGTTAGGTTAGTTAGGTAGGTAGGTAGGTAGGTAGGTAGGCAGGTAAGTAGGTAGGTAGGCTGCCCGTAAGTAATGAGGCAGTTAAGTCGGTTTGTGGTTGGTAGGTAGGTAGGTAGGTAGGTAGGTAGGTAGGTAGGTAGGTAGGTAGGTAGGTAGGTACATATATGGGTAGGCAGGAGGATGGGGGGGTAGGTAGGTCGGTGGGTAGGTCGGTGGGTTGGAGGTACGTAGGTAGGCGGTTGGCAGGTTGGTGGGCAGGTAGGTGGCAGGCAGGAGGCAGCAGGTGGGTCGGCAGGAGGTTGGTGGGTGGCAGGTAGGTGAGGTAGGGTGGTAGGTAGTAGTCGGTCCGTAGGAGGTAGGTGGGTAGGAGGTACAAGGCTAGGTATTAGTTAGTCGGTTGGTCGGTAGGTAGGTAGGTAGGTAGGCAGGTAGGTCGGTAGGTAGGTAGGTAGGTAGGTAGGTAGGCAGGTAGGTAGGTACGTAGGTAGGTACGTAGGTAGATACGTAGGTAGACAGGTGGGTTATGTATGAATGTACG